GTTTTTCCCTGTATGTTTGTTATACTGTTGTGCGAGTTGCAATTGCAAAAACTAAGAAAGTCGCCAATTACATTGTATTTCACACTGTTGACAGCAAAAAAATCAAAGCCGGACTCGTTCACCAAAGGCAAATTAAAATCACCTAGAATTATAAACTTGGCATCATGCGACATATATAAATTACTCATAAACTCGGCAAACTCCTGATACACCTCCACACCGCTAGCTGGCCTAATGTAAACCACCACAAAGATAATAGAAATATTAAAGAAATGCGTCCTGGCCGCAACAATCTCCAAACCAGTATCCAACGGAATCTGAGATGATAAAAATTTTGAGCTAATAGCCAGCAGTACACCGCCACCCAGTGAACCATACCTACGATCAATTCTGTATACATTGTATCGAGAATCAATTACTTCAGCATTATAAATTTATCAGTAACTAGTCACCGTTTTTATAACGACTTAATAAAAAATGCCTTTGATTGTAAGACAATATTTAGAGATTCCGCTTATAATACGAACTTAGAATCCAATTGAATTTTGGATGCGCCACAAAAATGTACTGCCAGAAATTTACGAACTTTATAAAAAATATTGGTGCGTTCCAGCTACATCCGTTCCTTCAAAACAAGTGTTTTCCAAAGCTATTATTAAGCTAAGTATTTACTATAATGGTCTATTTTAGTGATGGAACGGATAGTGATTTTGCGTAAAGCCGGATATCCGGTTATCCGGCATATTTATCCCCGGCCATTATTGTTATAATTTCTGGTGCATTTATGTTGCATTATTGCGATATTTGAATAAAAATGAAATTAATAACAAAGCTGATAAAATATGTTAACTTATTTGGATCCAAGATACAAAATGAACTTTTTTGATGATGATTTAACTAACGAAGCAACTCTAAAAAGAGGATACTTTAATTAATAATTGGCGATATTTCCATAAGGATCCTTCAAGAAATGCGAATTTTATAGCGAATTATGAAAGTTATCGAGGAAAATTGAACATCGAAAATTTTATCAAAACTTCAATTATTGTTTTCTCAAAGACTAAAAATTATTTTTCAAAACGGGTTGGTTCATTGGAAAGAGGACACTTTTATTAACACTTTGGGAAATTTTCATACTCATATTCCAAGAAATAGATTTTATAGGAATTTTTAAAACTTAATCGACTAAAGTTGCAAAACTCGATAAAATTGTCGATTATTTCAAAAATTTATTTCTCACGAACTAAAAGTGATTTTTCAAACCGGCTTTTTGCATTAAAAAGGGGATACTTTAATTAATAATCTGTGATATTTCCACAAGGATTCTTCAAGAAATTAATTTTATAGCGAATTTTGCAAATTATCGAAAATTTTATCAAAACTTCAAATATTGTTTTAATATTGTATCATATTATAATATTGTATCCGCCCAAAGCCGGATATTTGGTAACTATCCGGTATCCTGCCGGATATTAAAAATGGCCGGATGTTCCACCACTAGTCTATTTGTTTTGTTAATAAATGTTTTAACATGTATAACTTATTAAATTATTTAACTCCATAGTTTCACTGTCTTCATTCTACCGTTCTACTAGTGATTCGATTAGTGATTCTTGTCAAATGACTGAATGAATGAATAGCATACTTTCGATATTTTTATTGTAATTATCACTAGTGCCCATCACTAGTTGGTTCTATTTTTAGTTTTAATTGTTCCGCAAATATCTGAGCTTATATCAGAGGAGTTTAGACACATTGGACTAGGAGGTCAGATGTAATCAGAGGTATTGTATATGTTGGGACAAACAAACATATATAAAAGATAAAAAAAAACTATTTTTTATTAAAAAATTAGTTTATTTAAATTATTTAATTAGCAAATAAATTCATAAATATGATCTCTCTAACAACTTCTGGAGACGCTCTTTTCCATGACGCCTGATCACAGTGGTTTCATCCACGTAATGAAACCAGAGCTTTTGTTTCCACTAATTCTTCGATTACTGGTGACAAAAGTGATCCTATGGCTACAGCTAAAATATGTTGATGATAAACAATACTTCACTAGCCCTGGAAAAAACTTCTTTAAACCCTGCGGAATGAGTTATTTTATTATTGTATCTTTTAGGATTTAATATTTACAGGGTGTTAATAAACGGTATACTATCTTATTATATTAAACATTTATTGTGTGATATATAAATAATTGAACAAAATAATTTTATAGTACACCAAATCGTTCGAAAATATCCAACCAAAAACTCATATTTTCTTCATCAGGATTAACTCCGGAAATATCTCTAAATGTCCCAATATCCATATAATTTAAAACTCCATCAACAACCGGTATCCATTGATCACCGTCTATTAAAGGATGTGAATGTTTAGCAAAGCTGCTCCATATTCTAGTAACACGTTGGAGGGCAATCTCTTCTACAGAACCGTTAAGAATTTCTGGTGATATAAGCGTTTTAAATAAATATCCTATATCATCTGCATGAGCAGCACCTAGAAATCCCATCGAAATCGAATCCATCCGCTTGACAACATTTAATTCAGTATCGGCGGAAAATCGATAAAAATAAACTGGATATCCATTATTTTTAACGTGTTCAACAGCAGCTCTTCTAGCTGGAAAAGCATACCATGTATCTCTACTAATATTAATCAAAGGTAACATGAAATCAGGGCTAATTTCAACATCGCCTTGATAAAATTCTTTTATTTCGTCCGCCAATTTAAGCGCTTCTGGTGTCTCTGGTAAAATTCCTAACTCATCAGAGACAAAATTAAAAAAGTCAGTGACTGGTTGGGGTTGTCCCGTTGTATTCCGAATGATTTGTTCCAAAAGAATCCCTTCCGCGTCTGTGTACCCAATCATCATTGGCACTTTATTATAATTTCCTTCTCGAAGAATTTTCATTGGATCATCCGGTAAGAAAGCTGTCTCTTTGTGTTGTTCTACAATTGGACTATGAAAACCTCCCCAACGCATGGGATAAATCTAAAATTAACAAAATTAAATTTAAAAATGAAAAAATTACGAAATTACTTGAGATAGCAGTAAAAATCCTTGCATAATAAATTGAGGTGGAAGATATTGAAGAGTCAGCAACATTTCCGAAACATCATCGGTGGTTACTCCTAACACTTGAGCCAAATATAATCCATTATTTTGAACACCCGTCTGCGTAGGACTAGTTCCCACACCACTTTGCATGATTGCCTTAGAAAATAATCCTTTGGATTGCGGGGAAAGGACGTGAAAGTGTACACTAGCACCACCGGCGCTTTGACCATAAATTGTTACTTGATCTGGATCACCACCGAAATATTCTATATTTTTTTGAACCCATTCCAAAGCTAATCTTTGATCTTTCAAACCAGCATTTCCAGGAGTTCCAAGAGAAGGGTCGTCCAAATTAAAGAAACCTTTTTTGTAATAAATAAATTCAGTTAATTAAGTTTAACTTAGTATTTAAATTATAATTAATATTTACCAAACATGTTAATTCTATAATTTAATTTAACCAAAACAATATCTTCGGTGATTAAAAATTCAGGTCCGTATATGACATCTCGTGCAGATCCAGTTGTGAAACCACCTCCGTGTATAAAAACTATAACCGGTAAAAGATTTGATTCATTTTTGTGCAATTTCGGAGTGTCAACGTTCAAATACAAGCAATCTTCTTGTCCGATTATATTTGAACCTGAAATTTGCACACATTCGGGTACATCTTGGGTGGCATCTCTAATTCCAAGCCATGGTTCGTTCTCAACTGGGTCTTTAAATCTAAGATTTCCTACCGGTGGTTTTGCAAATGGTATACTTTGGAAACTGTAAAATTCCTTTCCAAAACGATCATATCTTACTCGACCTATTAATGTCCCATCTGGTATTCTTAACTCTATTTCTTCCGAAGTGGAACCAACAACAAAAAATGTTAACAATGAAAATAGAACGTAATTAATCGGTGGCAACATTTTTATTAATGTTATTACTTTGATTTTGGAGTTAAATAATAGGAGATATTTTTCGAGTGTGTACTAATTATACGTTTGGATAAGATTGATTTAATTAGATTATCTTGTTTTTATTTATCAGGTGAGATTTTAAAATATTTTCTTAATCTCTACATAGTAGCTATCACTAGAAAATCTAAGGGGTCTCCACGTTTAATACTAAGCCTATTTTGGTACAAGAGTTCTGTAGTTCCGAACAGTTCTGAACCTTTCTACGCATACATATTGCATAGTTTACGTTGCACGTAGGGGTTTAGAACTGTTCAGAACTACAGAACTCTTGAACTAAAACAAGCTGTTCGCATTTATTTGTGTATTGAGATTCATTACATGTGATAATGAATTATTATCAGATTCATCTGAAGCGACACTTATTTCAAAAGTTGAGCGTGACGCATTTTTCTTTAATCTTTTTTCCGATAGGGCGAAAACAAAAGGCGATAGCTGTTCGGAGTTTTTAGCATTAGAAGTTTCTCGAAAAACGAGGTCATGACTACTTAAGCTACTTTTTTCTATCTCTTTCAGTTTCGGAGATAGCCTATGCGGAGAACGATTTTGGAACATCCTGTACAAGAAAATTCTTGTGAATCTTTAATAGTAAACTTTGTCATAACTTTCTTTCCATTTATAACCTACACCATTTTTTGGGTGGGCACAAAATATCTATAAAAAGCCATTTTCTATAATTCTTCTCGCACAGCTAAGGCGGCAATTAAAAATTTCAATGCATCGTCAGCAACGAAGTAACATCTGTAGGGAAGAATTCCGTTTTCAAGGTAGTTCGAAAGTGAGCAGTTTTGAAAAATACCTCCGTCTGATCCAGAACCTTTGCCGCCAATATTAATTTATGTAAAATAATAGTTGGGGTCAACAACAGCCATCAAAACAACGCTGTTTTAACGTTTGTTGTTGAAGTATTCACTCAACAACCTGATGGAGCGTCATAATAAAAATATGTTTGTCATCAACAGCACCGCAGTAGTTAGGGAAATTCCAGTTATTTTCGAAACCAACACGTTGTTACTTCTATTCTTCTTCTACGATGAAAACTGTAAAAAAATAGCTAAAATTTTTTTTTGTTAGAGAATTTTCACATTGAACGTCCTTTCATATCTCTGCCACATCCAAATCTATCACAACCGATAGAATTAAGTTTACAAAAATTGCAGGACACTTCATCATCTTCGAAGGCAACAGCAATGCAACAACATTTTTATCAATTGTAGAAAATCTTGTTTTTTTTGAAACACTTTAAAAAGCAGACAGAAAATTATTATCTTCGAAAATATTACCTAGCATATATAATCAAATTTGTGAGAAAGTTAAAATAATATAAAAGTTGATCATGTCGCTATGTGGACTTCTGGCAGCAATAAAGCATTTTTATCAGTAACTAGTCACTTTTTTTTATAACGACTTAATACATAAAACTGTTTTGGCAACGAAGGAAACACCGGAAGCCCATACAGGTATAAACATTGTCTCTGCTCTTCCAGTGGTTTTCAATGCTTGGAAAATTCAGGATAAAATAATTACCATTGTTACTGACAACGGTGCTAATATAAAAAATGCAATAAATGATAAACTTAAGAGAAGACATCATCCGTGTATTGCGCATACTTTAAATCTGTGCAACAGGTGCCATAAACTCAACCGAGTCCAATTGAATTTTGGATGCGCCACAAAAATGTACTGCCAGAAATTTACGAACTTCCTTCAGAACGAGTGTTTTCCAAAGCTATTATTAAACTAAGTATTCACTATAATAGTCCATTTCAGTGATGGAACGGATAGTGATTTTGCGAAAAGCCGGATACCGGATATTCGGCATCCCTTTCGGCCGGATATCCGGTTATCCGGCATATCTATCCCCGGCCATTACGGTTATAACTTCTGGTGCATTTTTGAAGTGCATTTCGATCATTTCAAAAAGTCATTTCTCAAGAACTGAAAGTGATTTTTCAAAACGGCATATTGCATTAAAAAGAGGATACTTTAATTAATAATTGGTGATATTTCCACAAGGATCCTTTAAGAAATTAATTTTATAGCGAATTTTGCAAGTTATCGATGAAAATTGCAACATTGAAAGTTTTATCAAAACTTCAAATATTGTTTTCTCAAAAACTAAAAGTTATTTTTCAAAACGGGTTGGTTCATTGGAAAGAGGACACTTTTATTAACACTTTGGGAAATTTTCATACTCATATTCCAAGAAATGGATTTTATACGAATTTTTAAAACTTAATCGGCGAAAATTGCAAAATTCGAAAAAATTGTCGATCATTTCAAAAATTTATTTCTCAAGATCTGAAAGTGATTTTTAAAAACCGCTTTTTGCATTAAAAAGAGGATACTTTAATAAATAACCGGTGATATTTTCACAAGGATCCTTCAAGAAATTAATTTTATAGCGAATTTTGAAAGTTATCGATAACAGTTGCAACATCGAAAATTTTATCAAAACTTCAAATATTGTTTTCTCAAAAGCTAAAAGTTATTTTTCAAAACAGGTTGGTTCATTGGAAAGAGGACACTTTTGTTAACACTTTGGGAAATTTTCATACTCATATTCCAAGAACTGGATTTTATACGAACTTTTAAAACTTAATCGGCGAAAATTGAAAAATTCGAAAAAATTATCGATCATTTCAAAAATTCATTTCTCAAGAACTCAGAGTGATTTTTCAAATCGGCTTTTTGTATTAAAAAGTGGATACTTTAATTAATAATCGAAAGTGATAACAGCAACAGTTCTGTTAGTAATGAATGTGATGATGAATTACAAGCGAAGAGAAGAAAACTAGACGAAACTGCAACAAGAGATTTTATATATCGTATTGATATTGTTGCAATGAGGTTGCTAATGACAAACCTGATATAAATAAAGTTGTATTCAATGAAAAAGTCCTAACTTGATTATTATCTGCAGTGTCCAACACCTAAAAGGGATACTAATTGATAGACCCTGTGAATGGTGGAGTACTAAGTAATAGGTTTTTAATTTCCGGCCAAAGCCGGATATTTGGTAACTATCCGGTAACCGGCCGGATTTTAAAAAATGATCGGATAGGCCGGATACCGGATAGTAAATACTCCAGCTAAAATATGTAAAATATGATAAACAGTACTCCACTAGCCCTGGAACTTCTTTAAACCCTGCGGAATGAGTTATTTTATTATTGTATCTTTTAGGATATAGTTTTTAAACTACTTTTTTATGATTTTTTTTTAAATTTTTTTAATAGAATGTATAACATCTCAAAAATATTGTGTCAAAATTTCAAGTCGATCGCAGCACAATTAATTGGATATAATACTGGAAAAGTATTAGATATTCTTGTAAAAAGTTCTTACTGCCACGAGTGCAAAATTTGAAATAACAAATTAGATAGTGCAGAGTATGAAGCGTGATATAAAGAGCATGTGAATAGCGAAAACTGCAAAGCCAACCATAATGGACCAGCTGGAAACATGGAAGCAGCAGCAATTGTAGAGATGTTCCGACGTTCGTTAGAAAATCTTGGAGTGAAATTTCGCAACTATATTGGAGACGGTGACTCGAAACTTACAGTGCGGTTGTAAATGATAAACCTTATGGTGAGGATTTTCTGATAAACAAAATAGTATATTATTATATGAGCATATAATGAGGGCTATTATTCACGAAGGTTAAGTTTATGTCACGAGCGTAGCGAGTGGCATAATTAACCTGAGTGAATAATAGCTCATTATATGCGAGTAGAATACTATACTTTGTCCACGACTATTGAAATTGATTCCATAAATTTATTTTTTAAATAAATTTTTGAATAAAGGTTAAACGTCAATGTGACACAAATTCAATGTTACTAACTGTAACCAACTTCACAACAATTTGTCAAAATTAAATGTCAGTTTTATAAAACGTCGTTTTCTTTACGAAAATTAATTAATTTATGCTTAAATCATACGAAAAAAGGAATTTGTTTAGGTTTTTTTAATGTCAAACATTTAGAAACTCCTAAAAAATTGAATTAAATTGACGTTTTTTGAACTTTTAACGTTTCAAATAATTATTATTAGTCTGGTCAAGATGGCTACCCGTGGATAATGATTTATTATTCACCGCTATTATTCACTCCGTGAAAAATGACTACCATTTTGTTTTAGAAAACTCATTCATAAGGTATATATTATAAGGTAGTCGTG